GTAAACTTTTTTGTAATGTTACATCAATTTAAACTTGAAATGCAGAAGAAAAAGATGTAGCTTTTGAGGGTTAGCTGCATTTCTGGACACAAAAAGTAGCATTTTTATTTGTGTTGTTTTTACTCTCTGATAGTTTTGGATAAAAGTGTCTGACAAATGAATTTCAGAATTGTGGTATTTTAAAATTCAATATAAATTGTAGCTTTGGGAGATCGTTGTTTGAATAATCCTTTTTAATCAGTCTTGAAAAACCAATTAGCCAGAGCTTTTACTATTCATGCAGGGGAGAGCAAGGACTTCAATGTTTGTCGTTATCACGTTATGTTTGGGTGAAGACGTCATTGAGTTATATAAGAAGAATAAAACAAAGGTAGCGGGGCAACGCTGAGATCTGCTCATTGTGAGTGTTATCCTGATTAAATTAATCTTAAATAAAAAGAGTAATAGTTTGAGGAAAAGTTCATAAGTTCTTAATTTAGCTTGCAGCATTTGAAGATATTCCAAGAAATGGAATTACATGAAACAAGAAAACCAATGCGAAGACTTGCAGATGATTTTAATTGCAGAATGAGTTGAAACAGTGGCGCACGAGGGAGGACTGAATTATATCTCAGTATAGATCTGTAACACTACTTTAAATGCCTCCAAAGATTTGCTCTCAAAATCAAAACCAACTAAATTCTTGTTTGGATTGAGGCACAGAGCTGTTGATTTATCTCTTTCATGTTGCTTTTTTGCTCCCTGATTGAATCAATGTTTTATGCTTTCTTATGTATTCTGACTGTGAGCATGCTGCGTCCAGTCCTCCACTCGCGCTTGCCTGGAGTACCAGTGAAGTGTGTTGAAAGCTCAGAGACAGGGCAGCTGTCTCCCACTTGTTGTTGGGACTCACAGTTGAACTGTGTGGTCACTGAGTGGATTGATGGGGGGGGGGCATTGCCTCCCCTCTGCACAGGGTTGCATCAGCTAATCTTGTGAATAATGCAGAATCATGAATAAACATAGATCAATGTGGTGCAGTACTGTAAAGGAGACCTGCCTTTTCTCCCTCTCCCCCCCTTTCTTCTCCTTTCCACCCGACTTCCATTTTTTTTTCAATCCATCTCTTTCTGGCTCTCTTTTCTCACCACAAAAAAACAATCTTTTTTTTTTTTTCTTCCTTCCCTCCCTACCAAAATCAAACACTCCCACTATCCCCCCCCCCCCCACCCATCCTCTGTCACTCTCTCTCTATCCTTTTCTTTTCCTCTCTGGCCGCAGCAGTGACAGACATTGTAGTGCTGTAGTGTTGCTGTGTCTCAGTGCAGTCGAGTCAGTCCCGGCCTTCACTCTCAGCTCAATAGCTGCCCGGGTTTCCTCAAAGGCAGCCATCCAGCCAGCACAAAGCCTGCCCACTGGGAATAGACCCACAAAAGAGAAAGGGGGCTGCTCGCCTTCTTTGCTGAGCTCCGTCTGAAGCGGCCTGCCTCCACCACCTCCTATAAATAATACAACACTGCCTTGACAAAAAGAAACCCGGCCCCGCTCCCGCAAGCCTCCGCTTCCATCTCTTCTTTACTCCCCCCCCTCCCTCCCTTCTTTCCTCTGCCCTTCTCCTGTTTCCCTCCTCGTCACCTCACCTCCGATTCTACTAAACCACAAAACCAGTGCTTTAGATAAAAATTCATTTGGATACATTTTTAAATGTTAGGCCAGAGATATTCACACTATGGCTGCCTTTGCGTCTCCTGCGACTGTTTAGACTGTCGGCTCTGCATGTCTAAAAAACCCCAAACACAAGATGCAGAATGCACGTGAACAGGAGGGAAGTGAAGAGGCTGAGGGGATGTGACATCAACAAAGCAGCAGGGACAACGATGGAAGAAAGTTTTGAAGCCAATAGACCAAATCAATTCTGCAATTATTAACATCTGTATGTGTGCTCCCACTGTGTCCTCCCACTGCACAGTGACAGACATGCCTGTCAAAATAGCAAGTTGTGGATAAGTTCCATTTTAGAAGTTAAAGTGAAAACCTGCAAAACTAAATAGAAACAAGTTCAGGACTGAACGAGGAAGATGTAGGAGAAACAGAGCGGTGTGTGTTCTGTCCTGCAGTCATCAGTGGCCTGAGCTGTTCTGATGTGACTGTTGATTAATATTGTTATAACATAAGTATCCTGCTTGAGTGTCGCCATGTCTGCAGTTTAAATCCCACACATCAGGTTGTTTACAGTGGAGGTGGGGAAAAAAGTACAATCAAGATTCTTATCTTCTGAGATTTTAAAAAGATTCATAACTTCCAGAAGTCAATTATTTTTTTTTTGGCTTATCAGTCACTCCTTCCAAGTGCTAATGCTGGCTCTTTAAATCAGTAGAATGCCAAATGGAGCAGCAAGAAATTCAGCCAGTCTCACAGATGACTGGAGTAGATCCTGAAGTAAGGACTCATTCAAAAATAGACTTTGAATCATGAATACAGAATCGTTTTGAATCGAAAATAGATTCTCAATCCCCAAGAATCAAAAAGCTCTCTGGGCTCCTCTCTTGAGGTAACATAGGAGGTGCAAGTATATGAACGATTGTGCCTCCATTTGCAGCTGCTTGTGTACACTGATGTAATGTTAAAAAGCATGTAGTCTATATCCCAGGCCTTATAGGAAACCTGGAGGAAACTTATCTCTGTGTATGCTTGATGGTTTTAGAATAAGGTTTTAAGTTTCAGGTATGCATGGCATCATTAATAATGGCTGATGTTATTTTTCTAGTTTTGTTTTTCTTGGAAAAGTCATTTGAGTTCTGAAAAATCAATTCAGAGAGCCATGGTGACAAAGTTAATTCTGACACTCTAGAGGACCCCTGTAAGAAGGTCCCCAAAAGCACCTGGTGCTGAAGGACGTGGTCCACGGTCTCTGATATCAAGATTCTGCACCGAGGGGAAGGTTCTTACCAACAGTGTTTAAAATACAAAAGCATCGGTTCAACTTCTTTAAAAGGATGTGATACACATGAGGCTGCTATGTAGAAATTCACTGCTATTCATTTTATACTTTCCTCTCTGTTTCTACCACACATGATTTCTATTATGTAACTTTAATGAGTTCAAACAAATGCAGCAGGGCATTGCATATACTTTACACTTTAGTCGATTTACATTTCCCAACTCATTGAGACTTTAAATACTTGTTTGGAAAACCCCATTCAAATATGTGCACGAGTTATGTTTGTAGGAATGTACGAGTGTCTGTGTGCAAGTGTTGAGTGTAATTTGTCAGTGTATTAATGTGAATGTGTGCACGGGGATTAGGCTGCTATCAGTGCAGCTCTCACAGCCTGTCAGGCTTTAGGACGACGCCGGACAAAGAGGCTAATTTCAATGTAAATGCAGCAGCTGAGAGGACACAGCTCTCTCAGTGGGGTGACTTCCACCCTCACACACACACACACACACACACTCTCTCTCTCTCTCTCTCTCACACACACTCACAAAGAAACAAGTCTCCAGGATCAGGATACACACACTTCAACATATTCACTGGCATAGCAAATACACAGTATTCAGCCTTCGTTTAGAGGCATACACATTTTACTTTTTTTTAATTTTCTGCTTAAGATTCTCTCAGAAAGTTGGAGAGTTGATGCGTCTGGTGTCTCTTTGCACCTGTCAGTAATTATAGATCTAATCTGGTCCCCAGCGCTGTTTCGTGGCCCCTGTTTGGGTCCTCACAATCCAGAGTCCATCATTAGTCGGACCATTATCCCCATGCCTGGCCTCTGCACCTCTTATTGCATGCAAATAGAGCAGCTTTATCTGAGGAGTGAATGAGACCCCTCCCCGTCTCAAAAGAATGGAACACCCTCCTCGGGCCACTCAAAGCCATTCCTCCATCTATTACGGCATTCTCTGCTTCAATGCAGACAGAACAGATCTCATGGCGTCAGTGTCAAAAGAAAGACTTTGCTGGTTGGCGGGATGCAGATCAGTGTTAGGCAGAGTCGTCCGGGTGACTGCTTGATCAACTGATCTGACTACGTTGGCTTGTTTTACAAAATAAAAACTTTCTTCAGAATCACTTTTTATCGTATTTCCACTTCTCAATACGTATTCTGCTCATGTTTTTTTTTTGGTACATTGAAAGAGACGAAAGCAAACAGCTTTAGGAAGCTTGACTATGAAAAAGAAAGTCAAAGCACTGTTGACTTTAACAAATCATTTAATGAATGACCCATAGGACTTTTATTGAGATGACAGAGCAACAGCCTCCTGGGAGTAAAGCCAAAAGACTGAGAGCTCCCCCTGCTGACTGGCTGCAGTATATGTCATAAACCCCGCCTCCTGCATGTCAAAAGATTGGACATTTGTCAAACAGCAAAGTTAAAACACTTGGGATGAACTGATGCATCGGTTCAACATCAGTATTGGCCGATATTGGCGGGGTTGACGGACATCTGGACAACTTTCTATAACTGTAAGTGTTCGACCTGAGGGCTCTCAGTTTAAGTTCAGGGGAAAGGGCATGGCCTAAATTCAGTTGTTCAATGTCAGTGGTCATAGCAGCTGAATGCAGGCTGATCAATAACCTTAAACATCATTTAAGCATGCTGTTAGCCCGCCAAGAATGGGAAACCAGTTTTACTTTTCTTTTGAGGTGACATTATGGATCACTTCAACACAATGCACACATCAGATCTGAAATTTCAAATAAACAAAAGTATTTATAAAACTGTAGATAATGTAGCTACACATTCAAAAAAATCAAATTAGACTGAAAAACACTCTTGACTCTATTGAGAGTAAGACATTCATTTTCAAAAAGAAAGCAAAAAAGCATCCTTGTTTTGAGATCTGCGGTAATCATGTTTGAACTTCCAACTGAGATCATTAAACTTCCACCTCACGTTAGCGTCTATATACTTGATTCTATGCTCGTGAGAGCTTCCAGTGTATCCTGCCTCTGCTCTGCTGCAGCAGCAGCGGCAGACTGTTTGTATCTGCTCCCTGCATGGTAATGAGAAACGTACCTGTCAGGCAATCATGTGCAGGATGCTGCCTCAGGTCAGTGTTTGCTGCCAGAGGATGCCTTCCCATGACTGTTCCTTCGTGCACACACCTGTATGCTGTCCCCGCTCTCCGTCTGCAGCTTGACATTTGGTACGGTGAAGATAGAAGACACTGCAGGGGGAGAAGACGCAAGCGGATTAGGAGAACGTAGGCTGACAGGCAGGAGAACATTTCCAAGTAAGTTGTCAAAGATAGAGACGGTTATTTAAACAAGAATATTTGAATATTTATTTGCAGTGCTTTTGGGGTTTACATATTTTTGCTGTTAGGGAAAAATATGTTAAAAAAAAAAACATTTAAATTGCTACATTTGACGTGCAAACATTCCTTATGTTTTTCTTTGCATGGAAGTTTTACATTTCAATAAACTAACAAGAAGTTCAGAAGAAAGTACGAATGGTTGATGAAACTTTCAAACCTAATCTTTGTAACGCAATTTCTCAGGTGCCTTAAATTAGGATGTCTAGTACATTCAAAGATGTTGATTCACATTTGACCTCATGCATCTGTGTGGTGAGATTTGACCCGATCACTTTGATGCTGATGTACACTCTGGATTTGTCAGTCTCCTACACGCCTCTATGAGGTGAATCGATGTATTGGTTTACATGTCAAACTAAAAGAACTAACGCTCCTCTAAGAAAAACCAGTTAGCAAATGTATGATTCATCTAAAAGAGGAGCAGCTGGTCCCCAACAAGGTGGTGTGGTATTAGAGGGCCAAAGACATGGAGATAACACTTGGTGTCTCTGGGGACAGTTGCTGGATTATCCTGGTCAGAGGCCCAAGCCATCGACATATGAAGCTGTAGGTCCCCCCTCATTGTCTCTGGAAATGGACTTCTTGCTTATTGTTTATATGCAATGTTAAAAAAACAGGTGACATTGTATGAAGACTTGGGATTTTTTATGAAAGTCCACTTGCGGTGGGGGTTTAGGGTTAGGAATTGGTCAGAATGCAGGCCTGCTTGTGGTACCTAAGGTCTCTAAAAGTAGTATTGAGTCTCTTCAGTCATCTACAAGTCAGGATAGGGGAGGTGGACACTCAATACTTATAAAGGTAGGCTTAAAACTTTCCTTTTTGATAAATATTATAGTTAGGGCTGGCTCAGGCTTGGACCAGCTCCTAGCTCTGCTGCTATACATTAGATAGACTGTTAGGGGAACTTGCACACTGCATGTATCTTCCTTCATTAAGTGTCAAATATTTCCCAGCAGGTTCATTTTAAACATGGGCATTAGTTATTATTCCTGATGTAACCGCATAATTATGGAGATCTAGCAAGATGTCGCATACTTGTAACACCAACTTCACTGTGGAGCCCTGGATGTAAAAAAACCCCACAAAGGATGCATAGTTTTTCAAATGTTCAGAAAAATAGGTCTGCTGACCAAGCTGATGTATTTTACAAGCTAGGAACGAGAACATGTTGGAAACAGTGTGAATAAAACCACTGGCTCATTATACACAAGAACTTAATTGGCTAAATGTTTCAAATATTCTTGGCAACTAAATCATAATTCAATATCACTCACTAAACAATAATTAGGGAAATTGCATCAACATACTGGCTGGTCCGAACATGAGAAAACGTGAGCGATAGAGGCAGTGAGGTTTGCCAAGAGAGCTGTGGAAATCGAGACAACAAAACCCTCCATGGAAACATTTGCTTTTGTTTCACTTTTCAGAATATTGTAAATCTACTGGAGTCTTTTCCCCCTAAGGTCGCCGCTCCTTTCACTTCTTTCACATCCCACGCCCACACAAATGTTCCCTGAAATCAAATTAGAAAGGTCACAATCCGATCCACACTGTAAGAGCAACCTCAGGAGCTCTATTGTCTCGCTAATTCTGCCATTGTCCCTGCTAATCTGTCTGCGTATTGTCTGGATTAATCCATAATACACATGACAATAGAGAGCACAGCTGGCCATAGAAAACACACTGTTCATCCCTACAGGGATCAAAGAGAGACAATTACTCGAAAAGGTTCATCAGTTTCACAGCCGTCTTGGACAGTTCATCTTGTGTATGATGACGAGTGGCATGCTACAGAGCAGTACAGTATGTTTTTACTGGGCTGTTTCCACTGGCTCCAGTCTTTCTTTAGGGGGAAAACAGGACTGTAGTTGTAGCCTAATACTCAAAACTGAAGTAATTAGGCTGCGTTTTTAATCTGGCATTTATTTCCAATTTGCATAATTTTGACAGATCTCCCCGCTCTTTTTCTTCCACATACACTCATGGCAGATACTTTGTGTTTATCCATTCCTGTCCTCGTTTCAGGACGCTGTTTTAATTCGGTGCCATTCTTCCCTCAGTGGCTCCGCAGCTCTGCCTGTGTGTCACATGTTCATGCAGAAAGACAGAATCAGAGAGAGATAAAGGAGGAATAGAGGGAGAGAGAGAGAGAGAGAGAGAGAGAGCATGACAAAAATCTAAATGAGCCATCTCTCTTTTCTCTCTCTTTCTCACTGACCGCCGCTTTCAGTCATGACAACCTGCTGGGTGCTGATAACAGGATTAATAATGCTGAAAAATCTTAATCTGGGGGAATTAAAAAAAAAAAAAAAAAAAGAATTCTCCCATTAATATCAGCACAATGTCAGTGGCGGCACACTCAGGGCTGCTGAGAGCGCTTTTACACATCATTAATGAATAACAGCTTAAGGGATTGTTGATGTATTTATATGTAGCCTGTCACATAATATGGATATGAAGTCGTATCTGACACGGGCCACTTGCATCCAAAAACCAAATTCTGCAGGAATAATTGAAATATAGCCTGTGAAGCTTTGGCTAAAGCCTCTGACTCTTAGAAGGTGTTGGACCAAACTGTCGCCTTCATGTAACTCCTGCATGATTAACATCGGGGCTGGTGAACTGAACTCATCTTTGTGTAACACAGCATGTGAGTATCCAAGTTTGAATAACAAAACGCTGTCTGTTCTCATGAAATCATCTGGATGTGCACACTGGTCTGGTTTCTGGTTCTTCTAGCTCCTTGAGTCTGACTTATGCCCAGGTTCTTTACTAGGAATCGCTGCACTGATTTCTCAGACACCAACTATTGCATTGCTGCAAAACTTGGATATAAAGACTCACAACACTGTGCCTCCCAAAAATATCCCTAATGTTTCTTCACTTAATGCGTTGAAAACACACCATTTGGAGCCGTGCCGGGCTCTTCATCAGGTGTTCTCTGGACTTCTTTATGGGTCCATACCCGTCTATTTGACCACAGTGAGTGGCAGGTAACTTTCTGAAGCAAATCAAAAGCTGGCTGAAATATTTCTTACTAGAAGTGCTCACAGATAAAGACGGATTGGAGGGTCAAAAGAACACTGAAAAGAATGTCTGAAGTGTAAGCATTTCTTCTATGGTTATGTTTGTCTTGCAGATAAACATAACCATAGAAGCTTTTGGAACCCAGCCCATGCAAATGTCTTACTCAAGCTGTAAATGTGCTTATTTTACGAGATCTGTGTCATCTTCACAGTCACGCATATTTCCATTTGCATGTTGTGGTTGATTTAGTATATAATGGCCTCTGATGTAAAATTCACTTTCGCTTTTGGCATTAAAACATACTGTTGGGTTTCCTGGTGAAAAATGTGTAAAAAGAAAACTGCCTTTACATTGCACGTATTGTGTTGTCAGAGCCGAGTCTCTTATTAAAAGAGTGTCTCAGTCAGCAGAAAACACGTCAGGAAGCAGGAAAATCAAAACTGAGGGTGTTTCTGCGGACAGTGGAGGTCCGGCTGGGCTTACTGTCCCAAACGGCATCCACATAATAAGAAAGCCTTTTTCTGCATGAACAAAAACAACCCTATAGGTCCCTGCTAGCTCCCATCTACACAGAGGCAGAGAGAGAGAGAAGGGGGGGGGGATAATGCAAAGACCATTGTAGCTGAGGGAGCTCAAAGAAAATAAGAAAACAAGGGGGGGGGGTGGTCTTTGTAGCAGAGAGAGTGAGACAAAAGAGATAAAAAGAGAAAGAAAGAGGCCATATTTCTGACTATCAAGGTAACTATAATTGTAGAAAAGCAAAAATGCCTAGTGCAAATTTAGAGATATTTTTAACTTGCTGCGATGACATGTTGTGATCACGGTTTTCCCCAAAAATATAATAATAACAATAATCACGACAATTCAACCAGTTAATTCATGTAGTGAAACACAAAGCTACACCACATGCTGTCTTGAGCTGAACTAATTTCCACTAAAGATGTAAGTTAATAAACTGACATGTACATCTTCATAAAGTGTGACAGTGATGCAGTGGAGAGGACAATGTTTGACTGACCCTGCTTCTCCTCCTACCAACCACACCCACCGCTAAAGACACTGAAGTGAATCCTCCCAACGCATTATCATAACAACATACATATGATAATTAATGATGTAACTATGGATGACATGAGGTACATGAGGTAGATTAGAGTTTTCATAATCTACAGGACATTATTTATATATTGTCTGTGAGGGCCCTACTTTACATTTAGTTTAAAAAGCAAACAAGCTAATCAGGTCTGAATCAAAGAACCAATCAGGGGTGGCTTGCACGCATTGAGCCAATAACAGGGACTCCGTGGAGAGAATGAAGGTTAGCTGTTTGTCACTGTAATGTTCTTGTTGCTCTCTGACTGACACTTTGAAATGACTGTTTAGTCAATGAAGTTTGTTGGCGAAGAAGAAAGTCATGTTTTAAAAATACACCTACCTAAACAAATACGTTTAATTATCAACAGATTTTTCGGTTATGTGCAGACAGTTTTTTCGTCGTTCTTCGTTCATTCTCACTGAAACATTACGGTTGTCATGGCTGCATGGTCAAATCAAGTCAAGTTTATTTAGACAGCATATTTCATACAACAGGCGCAGACTCAATGTGCTTTAAAACGGTGAGTTGGGCATTTTCATAACTCGTTTTATACTAAGGGCCCATAATTAAAGGTTTTTTATTTTTTATTTTTAGCTACACATCGCTGGTTGAGTTGTGTTACGTACTGTCCTGCAGCTCCCAGAGCCGTGGAGGAAGGTTGCTGAAGTATTCGTGGTTCAGCGCTGCCTGAGCCGACAGCCGGTTCTTTGGGAAGCACTGGAGGAACCTGGAGGCCAACTCCTCGGCATGGTCCACATAGCCCAACCTGACACACACATAAACACACATTACAAGAGTGACCACAGAAACACAGAGGATATACAGGGACAACTTAAACAGGCAGTCAACCACCTCTCTGTTTTCATCCAAATTAATTATGAAGTTTCACATCACACCTTTCATTCATCCCACTGAGAAAGCAACTCAGTTTTTTTTTCTCCAATACACAGAGCTGCTGACAACAAAAAAAAAAAACAAGCCTTTTAATTATGCTGAAGGTTTGCTGACTCCAGAGGAAAAACACTTCTTAGACACACACACACACACACACACAAACACACAGATGCAAAGGAGCACACACTCCTGCTCACACCTTTCTCTTTTGAGCTTAGCGCGCACATTGCGAGTGGGTCACTGTGAGAAACAAAAAGAGTTGATTAAAGCAGGAGCTAGGACGGAAGCAGCCTCTATCTGAATCTGTGTGTGTGTGTGTGTGTGTGTGTGTGTGTGTGTGTGTGTGGGGAGTGTTAAAGCATAGCTAAGTGTTCGATAAGGGAGTCACTGAACTCCTGAACTAGTTCTACCTTGCAGAGCTCAGAGGCAGAAGAGATGGAGAATGAACGAACAGTAACACATTCGGCGAGTAATTAGGATCCAGTGCATTAAATAAACATGATGTTATTCATCGCAGCTCGTCGTCCCTCCAACTCAGACTCCCTCTCATGTTCTGCAGACTTTCTCATGGTTGGCTCCCCAGTCAAGCACTCTGACAGCCACTCCCATGGCTCTCGACGGGGCTCTCAACTCGACTTATCGGCGGAGAGACAGAGGGAGGATAAATCTCTGTTCAACTCATCAGCAGCACTCAGAGAGAGGCAGAGAGATAACGATAATGAAGTCCATCAGGAGCTCTTCTTCTGCCTCTACTCGTTCAGCTCTACGGAAAAGTTTAAAGACAAACAAGACTTTTTACTCATTTCATGTTCTGGGGTTTTTAAGGTCACTGCTGACACTGCATGTTTAGCAGTGAGAAGAATGGAGACGCCCTTTTTGGAGGACTATTCACATCACTTACTTAGCTGAGTTAACTTTTATTAAAAGCCATTTTTAGAAACAAAATGCTGATACAACCACATTAGAAAAAAAAGGTGTTGAACCTTTAAACTGTGCAGAAGAAATGGACCAAGAGTGTGACTCCACCAGTGGCAAGATCTATGCCCAGTGTATAAGAGAACTATCTTATTGCTTGACATATTAAAGCTGACCATGGTCATAACTCTTAAAGGGATAGTAACAGTTTTTCCATACATTTTTCTCATAAGGGACACTGTTTCTTGTCACTGTAAGCTACAGCGTGATCACACAGTTCACCTGAGCAGAGTGTGTTATTTTCAGACTCATGATTTTGTTATTTACACCATAGTGCATTTTAACGGGTTTAAGATGTCTGATCACATCTGCTGCAGCAGCTCTTAAACACCGGAGAACTGTACTGTATCAGTTTCTGAGTTAATTTAAAGTCAGAATTTACAATAATAAATAAAGCAGAAATCTAGTATTTTCTCGTAAATGTCTCTCTGAGTCATGACTGTCTACAATGAGTGAGAAGTGTGAGTCCAGCCAGCTGTATTGTTGTCAGAGCCGTGTTTACATCATGTTTACATGGACGGGACGGAATTGTGAATAAAAGGTGTTTTGGTCAAGGACTAGAGAAAAGATGAATAACATACTCACTGATTATTTGGATGTTATGTCAGTGTGATTAGATAAAGGTTATTCCGTGTCAATTTATGTGCAACGTGAAGCTACGAGCTACCTAAAGAGTGCTAACATTAGCCAGCTAACACAATAATGCAGGACACAGGTAATTGCATCTCAAGCAAAAGACAATTTTGAACGCCACTCGACTAAATGGTTCTTAGTTATGGTGCGCTCTAATTGATAACTCCTTTGTGCGACCGTGAGTGGGGAGGGGTTTGAGGTTGGAGGAGTGCGGAGGCTTCAGGATAGAGGAGGTGTCGCCAAAAGTTTGTTGTTTGTTTTGGTTTAATGCTGGTGCTCAAGGGCGACATCTACTGGAAAAAGTACCACATTCTTCCTTAATGTTAATTTAATGAAATCTGTGCAGCCTGTGTTGAAACAAGATAATACAAGTGATGTTTTCCAGTCCAGTGTAGAGAGACACACGCTGCTCATTGCTGTGTGAACTAGCACTACATGTATTTGTTTTTCTAAAACAGTTCTGCTGCTTAAATTCTGATCTGTCATTTAAAAGTCCCTCAACTCAACTTAACAAAATACTAAATCAGCCCTTAAACTTTTGCCACAGTCGAGATGAAATAAGTCCTCCATCACATTATTCCCGTAAAACCCTAAAGCATTATTTTTTTCACTGACAGGATGTGTCCGTACGTGCATTTGGCTTTCCTCAGGCTCGCTTTGTAATTGCTCTTCAGGCGTAGAAACAAGCAGGTAGATATGAAGAGATCACCCGGATATGAGAGCGTTAGCCTTTGAGAAGTGTTGATGTGCAGCGGGCACACATTCCTTCCTGCCATTGCTGTCATCCAGGCAGAGTGAGTGAGTGCACATCTGCAGGAAATGGATAGTATCTTCCAGCACCATCAAACAGCTGCAGGTGATGACACATTTACAGCAGAGAGAAGCATTCCTGCCTTAGTGGGTGCGTGGTGTTTTCTTTGTCACGGCTATCAGAGGACTATATACCAAGGAAGAGGGAGAAGCGTGACGGAGGAAAACACCTGTCAGTGTTCTCCTCCTACCGCAGCACAGAGAGGCAGATGAGTCTATTTGTTTAAGCGGAGCAGCACGAGGAGCTGTTTGGGTAGAATACCTTGTGTTTTTCACGTCTGAAGACTTCCTGTGAAGAGCTTTCATTGTGTTTGGCTCACCTGAGGAGGAGGGTTACGTGAGGGCAAACAGGCTTTAGCACGCAGCTATCAAAGTTGTTGAGTTCTGTAAAATAGTGACCTTCAACAGACACGAGTAAAATAAAGCTAAAAGCAAACTTGATTTATGTTTACCAAAAAAACATGTTTTTCATTGGGCTAGACTCCACACTCCAGAGGAACAGATTGTGTCTTACACACAGGACAGCAGCTTAGTCAGTGCCTCTACGCTACATTATATGACACATCAATTAATTAAACAAGTTTAACCTTGAATAAATGTTGAAGTTTGATCATTTGAGGCTCTAGTTTACTTTACCTTTTTGATATAAGATCCTTATTTGTGTTTTTAATCAATTCTAATGAACACACCCCTGCAAAATATTATATCTTACCAATTGTATTTGTCTCATTTCTTGACAAAAATGTCTCATTACACTAAATACAAGTCCAGATAAACATCTTACAAGCAAAAGAATGAGCAGGAGCCCCGTGTCCACATAGCTTTTTTCCGGGGCAGAAAAGCGCTGACTGTGCGCTCGGAAGTGTTTGCATGAGAAGAAAAGCACTGCCCGTCCGTCCTGTCTCTATGACAACAGTCTGTTGACAACGGACGCTGTATGACCGACACGGCTCTGTTTCTTTTTACTGCATGTTCTATGTTTGAGTTCGTTTATTCCCCTCACGACAAAGGAGCAAAGAGGATGTGAGTACAAGACCACGATCGGTAGGAGGCTTACAAGAATATCTTACATTTTTAAAAGAGCGCCCGTGACGTCAACAGCGCCTTTCTGAAAAGTTGAAAGATGTTCAACTTGAGCGCTCGGAGCGGCCGCACAGAAAACGTCCAGAGAGCTTGGAAAAAAAAAGATAGTGGGCTCTGCTCTTTTAATCCAGGTGGTTGCTTTCTGCTGCGAACGCTCTCTACAACAACTAAAACTAAAACATCTGAAAAAAAACGCTAGGCGGACACGGGGCTTAAAAATAGCTTCCAGTGCAGCTAGTGAAATAAAGTTCCTTTAAATAAGAAGTACTATCACTCAAATCTCACTAACTACACTTGGTAAGAGTCTATGTTGGGTGTGATGTGATGATAATCACACATCAACACAAGAAGCCAGAGAACAGAAGACAGAAATGTACTAGTTGGGTAACTTCAGCTCCTCCTCTGCTGCTGTGTTTGGCATCTTGCATGTGAAAAGCAGACTGCCTATACCGGCTGCCCAGACAGCCAGGAAACAGGACGTTGATGTCTGACAGCTCTGAGGTGTGAATGAATGTAAACTGAATGTTTTGATTAATGACGGTTTGATAAGTGCCAGAGTTGTCATTGAAACTTAATACACTTAAATCAAAAGCTGGAAGGCAAAAAAGTGAACCATCCCGCCCATCCAGTCTGGAGGAAATGATGGACGTCTTTTCAGATCTGACACAACTATCAACAGAATCATAATTTGTCTGTCAAGTTTAAACGGTTTAAGGGCGTTTTCCCCAAGACACGATTGTTTTGTACCATGCTCGAGCACAATTCCCCCCCCCCTTCTCCCCGCTGGTCTGCGCTCACTTTAGTAACTTTGTTCAGAGAAGGAGTACAATTGTGTATGTTCATAGTCCGATACAGCAGGGGGCAGTATGCATATAGTTGGTTTGAAAACCAGCATAAAGCAGAAAAAAGAAGAGGCAACCATGGCAACCAACCCCAGGCTGAGTCCATCCTGCTAACTGTGGATGTTTTAGTTATTTCTGAGACGCCAACAGTGACCCTCTTCCTACTTCCACATCTACTGTGCAGCTCAGAGGATGAAACACGCCCGTGCGACGTGGATACAATGTTTTTAGAAACGACAGGAGCCGTTTAGAAATATGTCATATAGAGATCCACTTCTTTGTCTGAGCATGGTTACGTTCACACCTCCCGCAGACTGTGCTTGAGAACACATGAAACGTGCTCGAGTACGGTACGTTTGTGCTCACACTGATCAAATGAACCAGACTTTGGGGTCAAGCGTATTCGGATCCTGGCCCAGGTCCCTAGAGTGACACTGACCTCAGTCCCTCATGTTTAAGAATCATTCTTTAATATGATGCACTAGCACTATAGTAATTGCAAAGTTTGATTTCGATACAAAAAAACCTGCGCCGGGGTTTTCGTCCAATATTTGATGTTGGTACATTTCTGACCAACAGTCAACAACGATAATCATTATTTTAATCACCCAAAAACATAGAAAAGCAGCCTCAGTGTGACATGCTGAACAAGAGGTGTGACATTTCTCCAGGATGCAACGACCTCCAGCTTCATCTACTCAAGATAAAAGTAGCTGATTAATCTTTCCAATTTATTTCCATTTTAGAATCATTATATTAGTAATGGAAAGCTGAGTCGACCTCATTATTTACTCTGCACACCCGAGCTGAAGGCATGATGTGAACTTAAGCATATTTATTATCTACTTGAAAGCTATGGTGGAAAGCAAACTTGCACTCTACACAGAATTCAAGTAATTAAACTTTTTTATTGCCATTAAAAGAAGTCAATGACAAGGAGTCGATCTGCTCAGTCCTCATTTGTGGAACACTTTTCAGAAATGTTTGGATCATTTGGATTTACTCAAAGTGCAATGAGCTAAACTTTTCAACATGCGACATCTTGCAAAGTAAAAAAAAAAAAAAAGACATTTAATCTTTGCTTCCTGGTCCACGTTTGATCCCAATCATTAAACTTATTGAACATGCTGCTGTTTTAATCACTCTGTCAGAAACAGAAAAGCAGGAGTGTAAATGTCACCTCCCTACAGAAGTCATAAAGGAGCCTGACGCCGCAGTAAAAGCTGCGTGACTTCACTGTGCATGAGTCTGTCTTTTCTATTGAGTGAACATAAATACAGTGATATTACTATGCATATCAAAGCACATAAAAACTATCGTCCCTGACCGACTTACTGCACATCAATCGTTCATCATTTTTACAGCTGCAGGAAGAAAAACAGAGCGGGGGGGGAAATGTCTGAGTGAGCGCAGAAACAAGAGAGCACGAGAGGGTGAGCCAGCTCTCCGAGCAGAGACAAAGTGAGTGTATAAGTTCATATCAAATTCATCGCTCCCTGGACTACGATAAAAGGCCGCAGAGAGGAAGTGACGGTCATTAACATTCCTCCTCACTTTCTTTCTTCACATTTTGATTTCCTCCTGGACTGGAGCGAGGACAGGGGACTGGGAGGGGACACAAAGAGTCCGCCTCGACTCATATGACTTCGGATTCTCATTTCTCATCAAAATGTAATTCTCTATGTGCGATATTTAATCTTCTCCAAACTTCAAAAATGTTTTGGGTTAGGTTAAATTCATTTAACAGCTGCTTATATAGCAACAGAACAAACCTCACATTTGAGCCGAACAGTGGTTATATTTTTAAAAAAGGAAAGAAAAGTGAACCTGGTATTCCTGATGTAGCTGTGTACAAATTATATTCATACCTGTGTTGATATATGTAAAAAAAAAAAAAAAAAGTCCAAGACACCCACTATGAGGTCATTTCTTGTTTTTAGTTACAATAAATTGCACAGGTCCTCTCTCTTTAGTGAAAAATATGACAGAACAGATTTATGTTTTAAGTACTTTTTGAAACTATTAATCATTAGAATTATGGAGATTATATCGTTTTGTTTCAAGAATCATTATCAGGTTTTTTATAAAGTAGTTTAACAAATAAAGATCATTTATGAGGGCTGGCACCTTTAACTAGTTAATCCTGATTGAAAGTAGTTCTTTAATTTTTTTAAATCACAGGTTTTTTTGTCCCTTTAGGTGCACGATGGAGAAACCTCCTCAGTGTCTCCCTGTAGTCACAGTGATGGAAAAGAACGACACTGCTGCGTCTTTGAATGTCTCATTTCATTCAACTTAGACGGCTCAGATGACGAGTCAAAAGTAATATCCTAATGACATCGAGACTTCACTCTTTTAACCTTCACTTTGAGCTGTTTTACGTCACTTAATGTCGCTACCTTCAATCCACCACAAGGTCCTTACTTTATTTCAAAATAAAAGCAGGGCTGAAGTAAAGTACTCTCAGCTTAAAACAGTAAAAGCCTGACCACTTTTATTTTGAAGTGCAAAATAATGGAATTTCAAACATTTGTAAAAAAAATGAACCATCTGAATTCAGTGATTAAACTTCGTCTTCATCATCTGACAGACTTTTTTTTTTGTTGCAAGCGTGGGTTTTGAAAAAAATCCTTATTTACCCTAAAGCCATGACATCATTGTGACCACGGCCCTGACTGAGTTTGCCTGAAGAAAGAGCTGCTGTTAAAGCAAGTCAGTGTTCAGCATTAAATAAAACTCATTATTTATTTAGACAAACGCACCTTTTAAAGCATTACTTGAGTGCTGAGCCAAGAATGATTCCTAGTTTGTGAAACTAAGTGTACCTTAGTTAATGTAACTTAAGAAATCTTTCATTTAAACTGGATCCTTATGTGTTCATTCAAACATCGTCAAACACTTCAGCTCCACCCTCTTCACCCTCCCTGACCTGTGGACGGAATAACTTTCTATCATGAAGAGATGTGGTACATTACGGAGTGGGCATTGCTCACCTTACTGTCAGTAATCTGCAGTGTGACTCAAACTTTTGAGATTAGAGGCACATTTCAGGAACATCCTCCTGAGACACAGACTGTAATCACTCAGCTTCCTGTATGTAATGACTATAGATCACAGTGGGAGCATATATTAGAGGTCCGGTGTGTAGAGGGCTTTAGTAAGCAGGATGCATCTCCGCAGAAGCTGCTCTACTTTGTGATTCCAGCTGATCAGACAGCTGGAGTTTGACATAAATCACTTGCCTGACGCTGCTTTAAAAAATTCCCCTGTGGAAAAGAGACAAAGTCCCCCGTGCCCTCTGTGGTCTCCCCTGCAGATGTGTGCCTGGGGCAAACAGTGGCACACATCTGTGGGGAACCCCGTCGCTGCCACCGTGCCCTTTTCCTGCCATATGTGCTAAATGTCTCAAAGCAGAGTCACACACACACACACACACACACAACACACACACACACACACACACACGCACACTCATACTGCAGAAAGGGGGAGTCTACACGCTGAGCCACAGCCGCACAAACAGTGACATACACACACATGAAAAACTCTTCATTCAACAGTTTACTTACTTATTCCACGCTTGTCTGAGCTTCTTGGCGCTGTAAACCGTAAAGCGGTCTGTAATGACACAAAAACACAAGTAGATTAGTAGACTGAATAACAGGTCTGTCTGCTTCTTATCATATTTCACAGTTTCAGCATAAACACTTCCTTATAAGCATGTGTTAGCATCATATTAGCTCTTTATTAGCTATTATTATTAATGCCTAATTCTGCATGACGATATTCTACATAATAATCACATTCTGAATTTAAAAGGCTGAGCAAATCATCAAGATTAAAATGAATACACAACTTAATGCTTATATGATCAATAATCAGTAATAATGTTAGCATCATATTAGCTCTTTATTAGCTATTATTATTAATGCCTAATTCTGCATGACGATATTCTACATAATAATCACATTCTGAATTTAAAAGGCTGAGCAAATCATCAAGATTAAAATGAATACACAACTTAATGCTTATATGATCAATAATCAGTATTAAGACGGTTAATGAAGGGAAATCTTATATGGAATATAGCCGTGCAGAGTAAGGCGTAAATATGAGCTTTATAGTTTCTAATAAGGACATGCTAACTCAACCTTTCAGATGATTTCAGAATAAAACATTTGCAACTTCTGCTTCCATTTTAGCAAACTCAATTCTAGCTTGACAAGTGTTGCTGCAATAAATGTCTGAGAAAAACACAAATGCATTTACACTAAATATATGTAGAGTGCCACCGTAGCCTCCACACGTGGGACGCGCCCACTAACCATTGCGCCTCCAGCGGCCCCAATTCTAGGTTTTAAGACTCGTTCACTACGGCAGTGTGACGAATCAGGGTGTAGCTCTCGAGTATTACCGTGTGAGGTGTGTACATGTGCTTCATTATTTTCAAAAGGGGTTTGGTGAGGGAGCCCTCTCCATATTTCCACTGCTCGGTTTATTATGCTGGGAGTGTGTGAAGCTCTGCGGTGTTGTCTTAATCTCAGCCAAAACTGCCATGTGGACACACAGTCGGCTGAGCTGCCAACAGACCAGCCACCACACAAGCTAGCCAACCACCCAGAGAGCTAGTCCACCTCCCACACTGCCAGCCTAATCCGACCAGCCAACCACCCAACAGCCTTTCAGTTAAAGCCTTCCAGCCTGCCAGCTTGCCAGCAGAGGGTCCAGTTGCCCAGTTCAGTGCCGGAGCTGGTCTGAACTGGAAAAACAGAGGTCAGGGCTGCCAGCTGACGAACCCAGAAATATATAGAGTGGAGGTGAGAGGAGAAGGACATTATAGGACGGCTGGTCTATTTTGGTCCTTTCTATGATGTCATTATTGAGTAATAGTGAGGATGGGTTGGGGAACACATTGACGTGTGTGTGTGTGTGTAAAAACAATAACTCTGAGCTGGAAAATTTACTGGGAGGGAGAATGTTTAAATCACCTAACCAGCGTGCAACCAGCAGATCTCTGTGCACACACTGAAACAGCTTCATTATGTTTTATGTTCACCAGTATGTACCTCTCCGCTCTTTCAGTGATATCATGAAAACCTTACATTGATATTCAGGCAAAAACTGTCATCATAGCTTTGTACTCTTCATTTTCCCTCCATTTTTGCGTCATTCTTGTTACTTTCCTGCCTTCCCCTCTGCCCCTCCCGCCAATAGGGATAGGCGGTGAGGTGCACGTGTGAAGGAGTAACTCAGAAAGTGTTTTTTCCTAAATTTTCAAGACATTTTGAGGAGCATATGTGAAAATGCATAAAGATTACTTTTATTTTTCTGCCAATCAAACTATGTGCTTTACAGGTGTCGAATAAGTGGATCGTATACAACATGGTATACCAATCTGTAAGCACTAACTTTATCTCTAAACAGGCTTTTAAAGAGGTAAACAGTCATTATTAAAAACTTGAATGCATTTGAGGGTTTATAGTCCGCTGGAGAAACGTCTCTGATAGTCCAGTACAGGGAAAGGGCAACTTTGGTCAGTGCAAGGGCCACATTCATTTAATTCTCACCGCAGGGGGGCAAATTGTAGGATAAAAAAATGATTACAGTCGATTATGTCTCAAATTTAACTCAACATATACCAGTGATCATAAATTCTTATGGACATTTTTCTGGTTTTCATGATTCCATGGCAGATTTTGTCATGCTTTCTTCATGTTTCCAATTAATTGATGCGTGAAAATTGCACTGAGGGCCACGTTGAGGGTTGATGGGGGCCGCATGTGGCCCCCGGGATGCCAGTTGCCCACCCCCGGTCTAGTATCACCAACTAAGGTGATTCTAATACCCAGAATCAGAATCAGAATCAGCTTTATTGGCCAGGTATGCTTAAACACACAAGGAATTTTACTTTGGTGAACTGTGCTCTCTTTGTACAAAGGTATAATATTAAACATCAACAATAAACACAAAAAAGTGTGCACATATGATAATTTACGGTAATTTAACGGTATTTTACGATAATTTAATACGGTTCACAATGAGGATAGTTTTACACCGTATACTGAGCATTAGAAATATGTGTGCATAAACTCAGAGCTGGCTGAATCACATGAAGTCCTGCAGAATGTGGAAAGTAAAGCACATTGGATTAAACCACTTTTCAAAAAGTCGTATCCAGTAAGCAAAAAAATAAAAAATAAACAAAGAAAACCAAAGTTTGCCATATGTAGTGTGTGAGTGTACCTTCTGTAAAAGTAATGAAGACAGTAGAGTAAAAAGAGAGAGCTAAATGTCTCAATGTGAGGAAGTATCTCTGGAAGCTTTTCATAGCCACAAAAATGTTTTGAAAAAAATAAAGAAAATGTGCCGTCTCCACTCTGAGGGCAAGCCACACAATCATGTCTTAAATCCAATCTTCATAAAATGTGTGGCCGAAAGATTGGGAAGAAAAAAAATAATAATATGGAAAGTATTCTGCATTCAGAGGATGTAGTGAATGTGAGGAAACATAAGCTGATGAGTGACACAGGCTGTGTTTAGTTGTGTGTGTGTGACAGTTAGCTCAGGGGAGCTCAGCGATGCTGTGGAAACGTATCTGCCGTCAAAGGAGGTTTTCTACACTGATGCAACACTGCCCTCTGCTGTTAGCTGCAGACTCTGGAATACAGTGATTTGGGCAAGAGATGGTTATTTAAGGAGAGAATTTTTAAACATAAAGAAAGAGATTTCCATCCAGTGAATTCCTCTGAAATATTCTGTTATCCAAAGAGAGTCTGTCTTATTTATAACACTGTTAATGAACCGGGTGAAGAGCCTTTCTTTCCCTGAGCTCACTCATCCATGAGATATAAATGAAAATGTGAGTAAAAACATGTATCACAAATGCATCATGACGTGTGCTGTCAGTCAGGGAACCAACTTTTAAATGTTGTTTTGTTGTAAACCCAGAAGAAGTTATGAAATCTGAGCTTTGCAAAATCCACATTTGAATACTTTAAATGAACATGAAATTAAATGTTGCCATCGTCTGCCCAGGGTCAACAGATGGAAATTAGCTAGTTAGCTAAGTCTGGTAGCATCTTTTCTCTCCTGACATTAACCCTTTTCTGTTCACTGTCCCTGATTTAAATAAACTAATAAACTAAACCAACCTAATGCCTCTGAAGACACTGGGGGCAAAGAAATATGCTGCAGAATGATTTGTAACTTGAGCTTGAATGTATTATGCTGTCCACAAAGGCCCTGTGTTTCATACATCACTCAGTAAATACTAATATTTATTGCATACTTAGATTGTGCTTGACTTTATTGTGATACTCTTAAGAGAAACACTCTCTAGTTTAGTTGAACCGTAACCTCTCTGGTGACATCTCACTCTTCCAGTGAAGGTGCAGCTATAATAACATCAGATCTGTGAACAGATGCAGCGCTCCGAGGCTGGACTCAGGCAAATCTACCCTGAGTGTGTGTGTGTGTGTGTGTGTGTGTGTGTGTGGCTCAGACAGCAGCACAGATGTTCAACACAGTGTGTGTGTGTGTGTGTGTGTGTGTGTGTGTGTGTGTGTGTGTGTGAGGCAGACAACAGCCAACTGTAGCCATGGTCACAGGATGAGAGATTACATTGGTATGAGTTGTGTGTGCATGTGACCATGACAGTCAACCCCAGTAGGTCTCTAATTGGCCACTGGAGATAGGAGGCTGGATCTCGTAGCTTTATGATGCCTCATTGCCCCCCCCGCACCATCACTCTAACCCTCTTTATGTCCATCTTCGCCTGTCCCCTCCACTCCACTCCAGCTCCTCTTCCCTCCATAAGCTAACACTAATCTGCAGTCCCTCTATTCATGTTCTCTCTAAAAAGCCCTAATGAGCTCCCAGAGGGCACGGCTGCCCTGGCAGAGCCGCCACCCCCACGCCTGCTGCTACTGCTGCTGCTGCTGCTGCATGAATGAAAGTAAATTGAGATCTGCCTCATTTTGGCAATCGTGTTGATTGTTGGATGTTTGAATCAAGCCATTAAGACAACTATCAAAATGCTAGCATGGTAGTCTGTACTGTCCTCATACATCATCAGTTACTGTGATGGTAGTAACTTTGTGGTGGCTGGAAGCTTAGTGGTCAGTGCACGAGGCCAAAGTATGGAGGCTAAAGTTCTCCAAGTGGGCAGCCTGGGTTTGAATCTGACCTTTGTCTCCTTTCCTCATGTCATTGCCCACCCTGATTTCTGACCCAATCCACTGTCCTATATGTAATAAGGCGTAGAAAAGCCCCCCCAAAAAATAAATGATTTATTTGAGAATATATTCTGGAAATAAAAAGGTTCCATCCTTACAGTGGATCATTTAAATTAATGACTTAATGTGCTATTAGGACCTTGATACCATGCTAACTATTTTATGCAATGTGTATTTAAAGTTGGCTCAAACTTCTGTCATCATGCAGAAACTTTGAGTGACAGTGGACACCATGTTCACCATTTAAATTAGGTTGCAATGTTTGTTGGTCATAAAAATAGGCCCCATGCTAACACATTTACTATGTTATTGACTTCATGCTTATATTTCATAGATCACATGCTGAGAGGTAGAGCTCCTCAGTCCACGCCCCCTCTTCATTAACTCGATGAAGTTGAGTGTAGGGTAAGTTTATACTTTATCAAACACAATTCTGGAAACAATCGTTTCAGTTTCTTAAAAAATGGCCGTTTAGCCGACACTATGTGACTTATTATGGTCTTAAAGATGTTAGTGAGGACTTTGTGTTGCAGTCACAGAGTGATCGATACTTTACAACATGCAGGGTCTCACCTGGTTTGAAGTGAGGCAGAGAGTTAACACTAGGCCAGGTTTCCTCAGACGGTGTACCAATGACCTGAAAGAGAGAACAAGAACACAAAGGAGAAAGTTAAAAAGTCAAGCAATAGAAAATAACACTTTGTTTTGTTGGATAGACATTTTAGTTTTTTCATAGTTACATTTTTGGGCTTTGCATGTCTTTATTTTAGAGATAGGACGATGGAGAGAGTCAGAAACTGGAGACAACACTCGCAACACGCAGGAAGGGAGCCACAGATCAGATTTGAACCCGGGTCGCCTGCTTGAAGAACTACAGCGTCCGTACATGGGGTGCACGCACTAACCACTAGGCTACTGGAGCCCAGACTCTCTGGGTTTAGATAACAATCCAAAAAATATCCATCAATGAAAATATGCTGGATTTAGCACAAAAGCTAGATTTCATCCATAGTCCAAATGATGCAGGTCCATACAAAAAAAACAGAAAACAAATATACAATTACAAGAGCCCTCACAGGACAGACACAGGAAAGCACACAAAAGAACACCGACAGATTTACACACAACATGGACAAAGTTTGTGACCTAAGAAATATCAGACCCACATACAATGATCTGGTTAAAGAGCAGGATGAACCAGAAGCTTCTGGGAACAGAAACCAGAGGAAGAGACAGATGTTATATGTTGAATAGAGGACTGGTTTGTTTATAACTCATGTTTGAGTTGTCTTTTAAAGGTGAGGTAGTTGTCAGTCTCTGATATGTGCAGGCAATCTGTTCCATGGGTGGGTGTTTCTCTAACAGGCATCATAGATTCAGTTTACGCCTCGGTGCATTACAGTCTCTGGTTTTCATCCTGGTGTTGGCCTCTTTCTCCATATAATCATTTGATGGTGGGGGGCAAGCCCATTTTAAAACTTTCAAAAACAAGACGAAAAACGATGAAAGTTTGGTAACTCCCACTGCTCTAAATGTTGTTCTTACAATGATTTCTACAGAGCCAATGATGAGGTTCCCTGTCTATAATTTAGCCTAACCTTCATGAAGAGAGACCTGATGGGTTTTAACATGCTCGCAGGTTAAATAATCACATAATCACAAGCAATTCTTTGAACCACTTGAAGGTAACAAAAGGACTTGTAATATCCTTTGTTCTCAAATGTATACCTCTTATTCTGTAATGAATTATGTCAACACTCACAAAAAACTTTAATCTGAACTGCTCTTATCGGTCATATTCCATAATGATCATAACGGTTTGTCGGATAAGGAACATTAAACACGAGGTATGCTTGATAATATACAGTCGTTTAAATGATTCTTGTTGGAGAGAAAAGAGAAAGTGTGGAGTCAGAAACTTCCTGAACAAAGGCGTCTCAGTACTTGTGCAATCGTCATGATAAGTGAATCTTTTTATGGAAATACTCGCTGAGTTCTCACGCACGCACGCACGCACGCACGCACGCACGCACGCACGCACGCACGCACGCACGCACGCACGCAGCCTGGCTTTATGATGACAAAACCCAGAGCAAGCGGACATGCCTTCCACATGATCCATCACAGCTAAGCAGCATAATAGTTTCCAGATTGCTCGCTTGTCTCTGGACTGCAGCAGTCTCCTACAGTAGAGCTGCTGCCCAGGGGAACTGTAAGATTTCTACTGTGTGTAAGACTGAAGTGCATTCAAGTGTGTCATGTTATCATTGAGATACATTAGTTTCAGATGGGACTTGATGGCATGGCAGAGAGACAAAGAACAGGGATAAGAGAAGCAAAAGTTAAAGGAGTCCAGGAGTGTGTTTCCATGACAGAGTATCTAGGCTAAACAAATCTCAGACGATGTGCTCAAACTTACAGGATCGAATTAATATTTACAGGAAACCAGTGAAAGGTCAGAAGCTTGTTTGTCTTACGTTGGTCAGACTCAAATGTCAGTCATAGTTGAAGTAATACCAAAGCACAACCACTAGAGGGCAGTAAAGCACCACGAGGCCAAACACTGAAAGACTTCAATAAAACAGAACAAAGAAAGTTGACTTTGCAGACTCAGCTCGATCTTTTTCATTTCAAGTATCCATGTTTTCAGTTTAACTCGTGTTCTGATACAACGTTGACATTTTACTGAATGCTGCTGTGAGGAGTTTTGAGCTGGTCATGAAACATATTGACTCTGAAGCTTAGTACAGGCGCTGGATTTTTGTTTCAAACATGAGGACCTGAGAGAAGATTGATTATGGTACTTCTTTCTTTATATATTTTAATACCAATCACCCCGTCACAGGGTCATTGTCAGACGAGGAAGATTTACAGCATGCTGCAAAAACAGCCTTTTTCAAAAAAGGCAAAAATCCCTTGTATATGCCCTTGTACTGTATATATCCCTTATATTTGGGGGCGGCTGTGGCTCAGTTGGTAGCGTCAGCAGCGTATGAATGCTTTTGAACAGGATTAGTTACTTCTGTTGACTAACTAACAACCTCTGCCATCAGTGTGTGAATGTGTAGGTGTAACCTGCGGCGATGTAAAAGCCCTCGAGACGAGAAAATAGCCATACAAGCTGAAGGCCGTTTACATTTAAATTAAAGAAGTCTTAAATTCTTAGCTAAAATCAGGACTAAAACATGTACAGGACAAGATCAGGCACCAAAATCAACACAACCTTAAAGTTCCACACAGAAGCTTTAATAGCAGGTAAAAGACAAACACACCGGTGTTAAGTGTTTTAGTAATGAAGGTCTTTAAATAATGCATTTTTAATACACCATCTCTGGTTTGGAGTTTACTGGAGCATTGACAAAATTGGTATTATACTTTTCTTTTTTTTCAAATTATAAGTATGAAGGAGGCTGATAAAAAGTTTCCTTTTAAAGTGTCTTCATTTAACTGCAAAAAGTGACATTATTTCCAGCTACACTTAAGACTTGTGCTCCAGAGACTTAATGGTTAATGTTGCTTTGTGCTCATGATGGATTAATGTCAGATCTTAAAAAGAGCAAGGTGTTTTACCTGCTCTTTGTAAAGTGTCTCCAGATAACATTTGTTATGAATTAGCGCTGTACAAATAAAGATTGATTGATTGACCACACATTACAGTATGTAAGATGCAGAGATAACTGGACTTGACATTTGTGAGTAGATTGTGTGCATATGGAACATTTTGAAAAGTAAAACAAGTTGCTTACTGCCTTTGATAAATAGCATAATGGTGCTCGTTTATTTTGGAGAATATAATACCCCCTTGAAAACGAGGCGATACACCTCAAGGGGTTAATCCTGATATAATAAAAAGTCCTATAAAAAATACTTTTGACAATCAAAAATATTGCACACCTTTTTTATTTCTTTAAAACAAAGGCTGCTTCTGCAATTCCCTTCATCTGACGCCTACCCTTCAGCAGAAGTTTCAGACATTACAAATGGTACATAAAAATAATCAATGTTGTCGCCGATGGTCTGATTTTCTTTAGTGGCTCATAAAGAGAAAATGATATCAACCAGATAGAAAAAACTCCTCACAAGGAGGACAGCAACAGCCTGAGTCATTTAAAAAGCTGCAGCCTCACCTAAAGAGAACCAAAGAAGTATCAAGAAAATGTCTGAGTGCATTCTGAATTGCTTCTCTGTGTGGCACCGTGGCTCAGAGGTCATTACTGTCACCTCATGAGGGCCGGCTGCAGCCTCTCTCTCTCTCTCTCTCTCTGTTTGCACACGTTCCCTTTCTTTCTCAGAATACCTGCCTGCACTACCATCAACATGTCCAGACTGTAAAAAAAGGCTCCCTGGATGATTGTCAAGAGCAAATCTGCTTTCACATTGGAAATAACGTAGAAGTGAACCCAGGCAAGTTGGAGAAAGGGAGACTTTGTCACTGATAAGAAGAGTTTGTCCGCCGGTCTGCTGCACTCTTCCAGCACTGAACGAGCAGGATCATGACAGGACAAAGTGAGCCCTCTGCAGACGGATGAGTTATGAATGAGGAGGAAAGGTTTTTGGGAGTGTTACAGGGGTGACATGGGGGGAATGAGGGGAGGGGGCATGCAAGTGGATCTCAATCTGCTCCGAGGAGCTGAAATCTGCCTGCATTATTGATGGGAATGTTCAGCAGCCTTTGAAGTAGAAAGAGGGGGGTGGAGGGGGGTGGAGGGAGGGGTTTGGGGCTGGGTGTGAATGTCAAAGTCTTTATGAGGACATCAGCGGGGGGAACGTGTACAGCTGGGGGTACAGGAAAAAGAGCTGAGACATCACTGCCTCACTGACAGGAGTCATCAGAGAGGCTCACTAGAAGATATTCTTCTGAGGCTCTTGTCGTTGGCCGTTCATACTTACACTTCAGAGAACTCATTATCCATAAAACAAAAGTCATCTCCTCGTCCTCTGTGTTCTCAGACGGAAGCACAAGGATAAGTTGCACAAGGCGTTCTACTATATCTTCAATGTGTCGATCATTTTCATGACATAACCACCAAAGTTGTTTTTTTTTTACAATGTCTGATGTGAAGATGCAGAAAAAAGTTCCTCGGAGTAACGATTCAAAGAAATGCTTGAAGTCATAGAACGGTTATATGTGGACAAAGGTCACTGACTTGACCTAGTGACTTTAATACTGTTTCTTTTTCTCCTCCCTCTCTGAATCCTACATGGGGAAAACCCCTGAGCTGGCCCTGTGAAACCCAAACTCACAGAGTAATGAACATGTGCAACAGTGTGTTGAAAGGGAGGACTTGGCCATCCATCAGGGAGGGGGTCTGTCTTCATCTCAACATATGTGAGTGTATGGACTGTGTGTGTGAGTAGAGAGAGAGAGAGTTGTGTCACGGAGGAATTTGTGCGAGGTTAGCGGTCATGACCCTGAGCTCTGCGTGCATAGTGCTGACCCCACCAGCTCACTTACAGACCACCGGGCCAGCCAGACGCAAACACAACGTCTGACCTTTACACACAATCCCCCCAATTATACACATGTTGTCAGAGAGAATGGAGAGATTAGAGAGATCTGAACTGAGAGCAGGTCAGACAGACTCATCACACAGTGAAGAAGACAGCTGACATCACAGCTAGCTTCACAATATGAGA